TGCTCGAGAGGGAAGGTATATTTTTTGAGCCAATCCAGTAGAGGGAGGTCCATACCGGTACCAGCATTTGGATATTGCGGGGCGTGCTATTCGAATAATAAATTCAATTAAAGAAAGGCGAAGCCGGTAGGGTAAAAGATTGCTTGCTTACCGTATGAGTATCCACAAAACCAGGTATTAAAAATTGTCGTTTGGATAACCGAACAATCTTATATTGAAAGTTCACTTAGTTTGGTCGGCATTCCTTAATTTTTCCATGTAACTCGTTACCTTTGCACCAGCGGTCTCCCATTTGTTCAGAATGCTATTTGTATTTTGATCAGTAAGATTTTTTTCCACAAATGCAATTTTACCAAATTCATCAATTCCCAGCAAAGCACTTTGGATGATTTCGAGTTTCGTGAGAGACAAAGAGTGGATCAGAGTACCGTGGAAAACTAGGGAAATCGTAGTAGAGGTCATTCTTAGGTAAAGTCCTATACAGGTTAACGATTAGCCTTATATATACATACGCCTATCACTTTGGGATATTTTATACGCAATCAAATAGTGTAGCCTATCTTAAATTGATATCCGATCCGATTCAGGAGTTTTGCCACATTCCTAAAATAGTAAATTTAATATGCCATCATCACGTGCTTATAATTCAGCTTTCTTATTTAACACATCAATTTGGTTAATCAGCCAAAGGGCAAATTGATAAATTCTTACCTATAAAGTTTGAGCGACAGTTGAGAAAGAAGAAACCAGAACCTTTGACCTTTGACATAAAGAAAAAAAAGCACGAAATAAGTTATTTAGTGTTATCTATCTCTCACTTTTGAAAACATAATAAATAAACCTTTCAAAAAAAATGTATGTATTAAATATCCGTCTTTGAGACTGACCTCTATTCAATTTGGGGTGTTTCCTTGACGAAGATTTCGGTCATCAAAAAGCGTCACCTGCTGTCAGTTTGAGAACAACTTGAGAAAAAAAGTTGTTTGAGCGACCGTTATCTCAAAGGGACCACTTGCAAATGGTGTCGCATGTTTAGGGTAGAAGCTTGCTTTCTACGAATTTGCAGTCATAATTAGCCTTCCTGTTATTGACAATTCACCCTTTGTAAAATGTGAATACTGTAATTTTATCACTGACACGAAATTCGACCTTGGCTTCTTTTCTCAAATTTAGGACTACCACAACCGAAGGTCATTATGACCCTTACGTGCCCAAAGCTGGCGGGCAACCAGCAAAAACGGCACAAATCCAAAAAAAGATTGATGATACTGTAGATACTATGCGGGACAATATCAACCGTATTGCAGAACG